AATCTACTTTTGTCTACTACAACATGCCCACTTTTGTACTTGTGGGATTCAAGGCTTGCCATTCTGTTTTGGTTAAAGAAGCATAATCACTGAGTCACAAACAGAGGAAAAGGAAAACAACAGGGTTATTTCCGTGGTAATTTTCCTTAGGCAAATGTAAAAAGAATTCATGTGGATATTGGAAACCAGCCAGATTGCGAGTCGAGTGCCCTAACTACCTGGCCATGCCGGGCCTAAGAGTGATAAGGAAGTCACCAAGGATAGTAGTAACACTAGTATTGCTTTCATTGTGCCACATCCAAAGTGAGTATATAGTTGCACACACATATGAAATTGCTAGTTGAGGATTGGGCAAAAACTAGACCCAATGCAGTAATAACAACTCATGATTTGTTGGTTGAATATGGTGATGTATTTGTGGGACAGATGGCTGATTGTGTCAAACAACAGTCACGTAAAATCACATAGATACAGGTGAAATGTGTTCAATCAAGCATGTGCCATGCAGTCTTTCCTGGAGCACCGAGGATGCAGCCAATACTGAGATACAGTGGATGTTAAAGGAAGGGACCATATAGCCTTCAAAGAGTACTTGATCACCTCTAATAGTGATTATCAGAAAGAATGGTGGTATGCCCAGGTTTGTTAACTTTAGATAGGTGAACATGGTAATTCACATTGACGCCTTTCCACTAACATAAACAGATAAATGTCTGGGTACATTGTAAGAAGCCAATTGGGTCAATATTTTAGACCTGGCATCTGTACACTGCCAAGTCGAGCTGAATGATTAGAGCAGATTTAAGACGCTTTCAGCAAAAAAAAAGGAAAAAAACGGTTGTAAGAGTCTTGCGTCATGCTGCCCCCAGTGGCACAGCGGTATATCTGCGGACTTATAACGCTAGAATCCTGGTTTGGATACCCGTGGTGGGCAGAGCACAGATAGCCCATTTGTAGCTTTGTGCTTAACAACAAACAAGCAAGCTTGCGTCATGCCATTTAGCATGTGTAACATGCCCATCAATTTTAAGAGACCAATGGAACTTACACTAAAGAAGCTACAATGGGAGAAGTGCTTGGTCTATGTAAACAACATCTTAGTATTTGGTCACACATTCACATCTGTGGTTGCGAACCTGAAAATAATATTCCAGTGGATAAAAGAGGCAGGCTTCAAAATGAAACCAGGAAAATGTGCATGGAATAGGAATTTCTTTGTCATAGCATGAGTAGAGATGGAATTTCTATAGATTATGCTAAATAGCAGGGGTACAAGATTGACCTGGACTGTGGTGACCAAGTGAGAAGTTATGCAGTTCTCTTGGTTTCATTTCATACTACCAACGTTTTATGGCCAACTTCTCCTAGATAGCCATATCATTAATGCCTCTCAATAAAGTTGAAGCACACTTCAGATGGAGTGAAGAATGTGAGTAAGTATTCCACTCCTTGACGTGTGACTTAGTAGAAGCCCTACAGCTGGAATATCTACCCCAGAACTGTCAAATCTTTGGTTGATACCAATGTCAGTGATAATAAGATCACAGCAGTATTATGATAGTTGTAGAATAAAGTAGAATGTGTAATCGAGTATGCTAGTTGTACACTCATGGTTCCAGAATACAGAAACTATATGATGAAGAAAGAACTGCTTGAAGCTGTGGTCTTCATGAAATATTATTGACACTATTTTTTATGGTAGAAAGTTTGCTATTCGGGTGGACAATGTGTTTCTGAAATTATTAATGAAGCTTGCAAATCCAGAAGACATGATTGTATGTTTGATAACAGCATTGCAGGAATATGATCTAGCCATACAGCAACACATAATTCGGAAATGTTGATGTATTGTCTCACTACAAAGGGAGTCCCTGCCCATCTGTTGAATGTCCTGACATTTGACACTGTGTGGTATTTGAAACAATCCATAGCATTGTGATAATGCACCATATAGTAGGAGATTTCATTAGTGTATGGATGCCACAATTCGAACTTTGGAGCAGGGTTAAGCTCAACCAGCTCGGCTGAGAAATATAGCACAGATGAACGTAATATATGGCACACGTAGAAGCAGTTATAAGTGCAGAACAATGTGAGGTATTGTTGTTATCAATTGCTGAGACATGGTTCTCAACTTGTGTTGCAGCCAGTGGTCCCCATAGCTTTGACGCACGAGATTCTCCAGAATTTGTATAACACAAAGATTGGAAAGCATTAAGGTTCTGGTCAAACATATGCTAAGTTTTTAGCAGTTATACTAGCCCCATTTGAGTCAAGATGTTCAGTACTGGTGGCAACATCATGCAGTATGTGCCACCCACAAGAAAAACCAACATAAGCAAGGTAAACTCTAGAACTGTTGATTCTACTTTACAGAGAATAGTCTAGGATATTGCCAATTCACTCCAAGAAATGGAAGAAGTTTATCTATATCTACTTGGCCAAGATTTATTCATTGGTTAATATGCTAGAATAGTCAGTGTTTGATGCAGTGGTGGAATGCTGAATATCCTAGTTCGGAGCATTGGAAAATATCCATATGGACCATGGAGCTAATACCAACAATTGTTCGTATCTCAGTTGTGTAAGCTGTTGGGTATGGTGAAGATGCGCACTTTGCCTTACCACCACTAGTGTGATGGTTTAGCAGAATGTGTGATAAAGACCGTCAAGCATATGGTTGCCATGTTTGTTAGTCCTAGCGAAACCAACTGAGATGTACATTTACCATACATCAAAGAAGAATAATGTGCAACTGAGCACAGAATGGCAAACTTTTCATCAAACATACTCATGTTCAACCGAGAAACTGGGCTCTCTGTTAATTAGATGTATGGTCCTTTCCCTAAAGTGGATGTCCCACAGCATCCATAAGATTATATAGAATGGTTAAGTTCTGCATTATTTTATGCACATGAATTGACATGTCAACAGCTATGAATCTACACTGGATAAAGTCTGCTAAACTTAAGATTCATTCAAGATATGGAATCACGGAGTAATACTAAAAGTGCTTACTAAACGAGACTATGCTAAGTGAAAGAAACAGACTCTACAAACGCGATAAACAAAATGAAGAATCTTAATTAAAATACTTGACATAAAGACAGTGTTTGTACCCACTTGCTAGACAAAGGACTCAATGGAACTGGAAGATACAATATTTCATACCTTTACATTACCTTATATAGAACAAGCTTGGTTTGCAGCCTCGCTTTACTCTGCATTCATTGATTTATGTTTGAAGAAACCTGGCATTTATACTGTTCAACTAGTGATACTACATGACAAGTTATTTTCAGAATACATACTTAAGACATTAACCTTTAGATACTACCTGAAAAACCACTGAAGGATATTATTAGTTAAATCCTTACATAAGATTGCATTAAGCAATGTTCTTCACGGGTGATAATAGGATGCGCCAAACTCTGAGAGTAACAAAGAAACAAAGGTAACATCAAACAGGATCAACTAAACAATTTTCCAATCACATTTTATGTGAAAACCTACACATAATTAAAATAAAGAATAAACATTATAACACTACGAGAAGGTAGGTACACATGGTATATTCAAATACCCCAATATTATAGCGACCCCATGGCTAAAAAACAAAATGGGATTTGATCCTACGACCACTGGTTGCGAGTCGAGTGTCTTAATCACTAAGCCATGCCAGAACCTCGTTGATTGTAATTTTTTACAATTGTGTCAATTCTCTTTATTCATTTCCTAAAACTCCGTTTCTCAGAGAACTCAGAATTACTTTGTAATAAATATCTTGGTCGAATCTCCTGTTATTCTGAGGACCTATCTTGTCGCTCTAAGGGATATCAGTTCCACTTGAAAATATCGCATCCTTAATATGCTTTTGATTAAAATACATGTATAGGTAGATAAACAATAGCAATTAAAATATTTTAATTTCTTATGCGTTTATGCAAGCAATGTTAATACTTTTATAAGTTGGTAACAGTGCAACTGGTTTTAAATATAAAAGTTGATTGACACTCAGGACGTATATGTTATGATAGCCTTATTTTCAATTGAATATGTATATAAAGCGCAATTAATCACATTTTATAATTGACAAATATGGGGATCTTTTCTTTTAATTACACAAGACAAAAATAAATAAGGATGAATTGGTAAATTAAAATGATCGCAGATTGGACCTATGGTAATGCTCTGGATTTCAGAGCTGGCAAGACAGGCTTTAATGCATGCGATACCACAAAATATACCATCCACTTTAAGGTGTGAGTGCGTCATAAGAGTAACACTCAATCATTTAGCGTCGAAGATGTATAGTAGAGTGCTAGCGACTGGTTGCCTTTTCTCTGATCAGGCCCCCAAGTGGCACAGCGGTATGTCTGCGGACTTACAACACTAAAATCCTGGTTTCGATACCCGTGGTGGGCAGAGCACGGATAGTCCGTTGTGTAGATATTTCAAAATCGATAACACTTGTCTCTTAATTCTATAACTGAATATTATGAGTAAATTATGATAAATTTGTTTATTTTTGAAATTACATTTATGGCTTAGTTAAATGGCTATCTGTTGCTGTTCCTAATTTTGAACTACTGATCAGAGGGTTTGTTTGTAGTTAAGCACAAAGCTAGAGTTTCATATGTGTTTAGTTACAAAATAGTTCTAATAAATATTAGCGCCAGAAATTCATTATGAACTTTACTCACATTGCAACGTACCGTTGTACCAGTAATTAATAAATAAAAACGTTTAAAGGTCTCCTTTTAAACAACATAACTTTTGTTTGACGATGGTTGGATCAGTTATCAAAACTAAAATTTCATGTTTTGATTAATTTTTACATTATATGTAGAAAATTATTTATCGCGATTTGTCATTAAACTTTTCAACTTAAAATATTTATATACAATTCACTGGTTTTTGACGTTTTAGTCGTACAAGTTAATATTTTCACTCATAAGAGGACACTAGCAAATGGTGAACGCGCATAATCAGTATTTATGTGTTATATTACTTAATAGACCGTAACGTCAGGGTGAAAAGAGATTACACGAAATAGGAAGTTAAACGTTACCCATTTTTTATACATCAAGAGTTAATTTTTAATTGTGAGTCGGGTTTTGAAAGGGTGTTCAAATGCAAACCTTAAAAGTAACGTGAGATATGAGACCAAGTGTTCGCAACACGAGGATTTTATATTTACAACTAGTACTACTGCCACAGTATCTAACTAACGACGAGTAACTATTTAGTATTTTATAAATTAATTTATAGGCCTAAGTTAGTTACACTGTTAGTGCTACGAAAAATGGAAGATTAAAGTAATGTTCATTTTATTATGACGTAGGTGTAGCATGTATCTTCAAACACGTATAGAACATTTTTGAAGTTCGTTTTCACAGCCGTCAGTTAATACTAGTAATAATATAAGTAACAACAATTCGAATTCGATTCCTCTAACTTCTAGTCTACTGTTCAGTGTTCTACAGATCAGTAGAGTCATGGTTAGCAGTAACACTAGCACTGTAGCAGTACTACAATTATTATTACTATTGAAGACAACCATTCACTCGATAGTCCTGCACTAGCACTTTTTACTGTGGAAAGTTTTTCATAACTTGGGATTTTCTTGCAAAATTTGTTTGTTCTTGTAGATCATATGATCACAAACGACATCTTACTCTTACTGTCGACGTGTGACATTAAATCACATAAATCAAATGCAATTAATGACAGCAGCAACTCGTAGTTGCACCTCTCACGTAAGACCAGTTAAGCTTGAAGCCAGTGAAGGTTTTACTTTTAACCAAACTACTCTGAACAGAAGGAAGAAAGAATTATCGTGGCCCATGTGTCGTCACATTGTTGGCAAATATAGAGCCTGCATCAACAAAATTGATATTGTTATTAGCACTACTAGGCCTCTCAGTGTCAATAACTATGGGTAATAGATTTTAAACTTGAATAAAGGTTTATTATCGATCAAAGTAGATGAGATTTTGAATATAATAACAGAAGTTTTTTAAATAAACGTTATAAATAAATAAACCTATAAAGAAGTAACCTGATATTTTTGAAAGTAAGATAGCCAAGATTGGTGTTTTACCAACCATTTGTTCATTATTCAATAGTCACTGCTGTCGATGACATTATGTTTGAGCCATTATTATTAAGATGAGTGTAGCTGATAAATTGTAAAGTGATATGTGGACTTACAAAATAGTAGTCTGACACTTGATAAAAAAAAATGGATATTTCAAGACGTAATCCTCAAGATGAGTATGAACTTGTGCAAAGAATTGGAAGTGGAACTTATGGGGATGTTTATAAGGTATGTAATTAGATTTAAAATTTTGATTGTGTTGATTAAGTTGAATTTTTTATTTTATTTCTTGAGGTTTTGTTAATGATTTACATTTATTTGTGTGTTTATGTCTATTTCTGAGCCCAAAATATATTTTAATAAAGTAATCCGGGAAATGTCATTGTTAAGATATTTGCTAAAAATTCTAAATTTATAAGACCAGAAACTGAATAGTGAATTTGTGCCATTTGTGGCTGTATGTCAAATAGAAAAGAAGATACAACATTTTTAGCAGTTGAGTGAATCTTAATTTTGCCCATGTAAATCTGTAACCAGTGAGGTTTTTGAAACTCAAGGTGATCAATGCCAGTAAGACTACAGTAACTGGCCTATAATATCCATGACAACTTTTATCATCCCTTTTTAAACAAAAGTAACAATAACAAGTTTCCAATCCTTAGGTACCTACGCAGTGTCTGTTGAACTAGAAAAATGAAAATGAGAGGTTGACATTTCTCTTTCTTTGAGGTAAAGGTGATGTATATTAAATTCTAACAGACTCTTGAGCACCAAAAGACAGTTTTGAAGATAAATATCCCAAATAAAGGAAAGAAAATTCTCCTAAAATTGACAAAACTATTGAAGGTAGATAGTGTAAGAAAGTATATCACTTGGAAATAACATACAAAGGAATATAAGCATTGCATAGTAGTGAAGGCAATGTGAAGGGTAGGTTACGTGGGAAGAGAGGTGATTTAAGGTGTAGAAGAGTGGAAGCATAGGCAGACCAATCAACAAAAATGTGCTCAATACTGTATCTTGTACGATCTTATAAAAAGGCAGTAATAGGGTGATTAGGCCTGCCAGTTTGTGTACAGTGAAATTCAGAAGGCAAGTACCAAGAAATAACCAAGACATGCCAATGTCATAATGTCAGTGCAGTAAGGTAAAATGGAATCTGGACAAAGCAAAGGACATGGTGAAAGATTGGTGTTGTTTAATGGAATTTAACTTTTAGGTCTTTATATTTCTTTAGGACGTTTAATTGATGTGTGTGTGTGGGTATATTCTTTTCTTGTGGCTTCATAGACCTATGTACACCACTGCTACTTTAGCTTTACACAATTTGACATTTGAGGCTTCATTCAGTTTGTGTGTATTGGTCTGTATAATTTCAAATTTATTCAATGTACAGGTAAAGGTATTGAGCATTAGCTTGGTGATCTTGTTTTCCTAAAGCATTACAAGTGGGACATGTTTCCTTATTCAGCTTATTATCAATGAGTGAATAAAGCATTTGAAGAGTTGACCAAAACAGAGCTAATGTAAAATTCAGCCTTCTTCTAACATATTGAAACAGGAATCACTTTCCAAAGGATGGTTACAGAAGAAATGAAAGACAATTGACTTGATGGTTCTGTGAGCTAGTTAATTAACTAGGATTCCTATATGTCCAGAAATCCAATTAGAAATTAAATGTTAACTTTTAACTACAAGATGGTAGTGAAGTAATTGACATTCTCACAATACAGCAAGGCAAGTGCTTCATCTATTTGAGTTCAGACATAATAAACTATTAAAAGAATCAGAGAAACAAATTATTTAGGTAAATAAAGTCCTGATAATTATCAAGCCAAGAAACCACAAGAAGAATGCAGACAAGATCTGTTAGATTTAAAAATATTTACAGGCTTATTATGATAAACACAAGCTGCCTTTCTAGTCGATGGGCCATAAGAATCATTGGTATAAATACACAGAAATTCTTAAAGATTACAAATATCAGCTGAGCAGTTTGGCAATAAAAGCAACTTGTAGTTGAGAAGAAAAACTTAAGATTTACAAGAATGTCACAAAAGTACCATGGAGGTGGAGACCACCAAATGACCTGAGACTCAAACTTTTGCTGTAGAAGAAAGGGGGTGTTTTTTGCAATAAAGATGACAGAAGTTTTACAAGATAAAGAAGCTGAATAAGGAAACATGCCCCTCTTATAAGGTATAGTAGTTTTGGTATATTCTGGTCTATTTTTTGTCCTAAAATTTCAAATTTGAATGCTACTTGAATTTTGTTTGGATACCCATACTTTTAAAACTGAATGAAGCTTACTAAAGAACATCTAATATTTTTGCTTTGTGTAAGTGGCTCAAGTATGCAGTCGGTACCACAAATCATCATTTTGATATGTATTTTTTAATTATTTATATATACTTTCAACAAAAGTACTTAAAATGTAAAAATGATAAACCTTCTAAGCTTAGCTGAGCAAAAAGTCAATAAAATAAAATTTTCTAAATTTCACAAGCTTGAATATGTGTTAAACAAGACAAATAACATATTACTTATGTTAGCATTACTGGAAACAGCTAATGGGGTCTTGCTGTGAATTATTGCTTTTAAAGCAAGGATTACTGCTCCAGTTAGTACAAAGACAACAATAAAATTAAAAGAAAACATATGTGAAAATGTTAGCATTTGAAACTACTAAGGAATTTGAAGCTTTATGGTCAATACTACAGTCATTGCAGAGAAAAAAATGGTATTATTAATTTTATCATATTTTGAGTTTTCACTGTTCATTGCTGTTTTCTATACAGTTAGTGTTAGGGTAGAGAAAATAAGTGATACCATATAACATTTTACCGAAACAAAACTTTGTACTTCTTAACAAGTTTCTAGATGTTATTCAAATGAAATATGAAAATTGTAAGATCAAGTATTTTTATTATTCTTAGAATGAAAATCACTTTTCAGTCAAACTGATTCAGTAAATACTTTGAAAGTTTACTGAAATAATTTTTGATAGAAGTGCTTTATTAAAAACTTACATTTTTTGTAAATAAAAGCTAGCTTAATTTCATGAAGATGCACATAGTAAATGTAAAGTTATAGTATATGTAGTTTCACAGTTTTAAGGTTTGTCATATCGTCCAATTTCATACATATAGGGTTAACCATACTAATACAATTGAATAATGGAAGTTTTACCTTCTAATTGCTAACAAATACTTTAGTAAACACACAAAATACAATTTATTCACATTTTTTCTCAAGCTGGAAATTGCCCTCTTCTAAGTCTTCTGATTTGGAAACATATCAAACAGTTGATATATATATATATCAGTTGATAGTATGGTTTTGAGATGTCATACTTCTCAAAGGGTATGGCAGACTTGCTGACTTGTAGGGAGTCTCAAAGATTTCCATGCTAGCTTTCATGAGTTGGAAGCAGCTGTGTGTCAGGTAGGTCCCTGGGACTGAGTATCATCATATGAATTCCTGAGCACAAAATAACATTGTAAAAAATATGAGAAGTGTGTCTCCTCTTTTAAGGCATTTCAGGAGATTGCTAATTATGATTTTCAAGTTGGTGGCAACAAGATTCAATCCCTATAGAATTCCTTGAACTCAAGAAATTTTCAAAGAACATAAGTTTTGAGTTTTAACAGAAAAAGTAAGTATCAAATAAGGTTGATTTCAAAATCCAAATGCACAGGCTTGGTGTAGAACTAATTTGGATTTCAGCAAGATGACAATGGTAATCAGGTTGAAGGCAGATAGCCAAGATGTCAAACATGTTTTAACAAAGTTAAAATCAAGAAAGGAAACACCACCAATTTATTTCAATATTCAGATCACCACCTCAATCTCTTTGCCAAAGTTAAGTGACTGTAGTCACAGTGCAAATTAGTTTTACTATAGATTCATTAGTTCTTTTAGTTTAAGTGATTCCCAGTATATTACATATTTAAATTCTGTAGCGGAATGTAAGATTCTGTGAAAGCTTGCTGAAACATCTGTTATCTTTTTATATGCAAGAAATAAAGAAATTAGTGAATTTTTTTTTTTTTTTTTAATATTTGAGTGATGCACTTTCATCTTGGCTTTATTTGAATTTTATAGGCAGTGGTAATGACCTTTAAAATTTGAATACGTTGGAACCTGTTTTCCATAGAAAAATAAAAATAAATTTAAATAGTAAGTATTTCACTATGTTACACTAATATTAGTTGTGTATTAGCTTCTTATTCACTTTATACTTACAAAAAATAAAATCAAATTTAGCAACCATTTAACAAGTAATTAAAATAAGCCAAAATATCTTGATAGTGTCAAATATCATGATATTGTGCATGTTATTGTATCGAGGCAAATAAGTGAGGTACTGCAGAACATTAATGCCAATTACTTTTAATTACTAAGATATGTAGAGATAAAAGAAAGATCAAAAGGGCTTTCCAGTTGCTGAACCTAGTCTAGTAGGTGGATTCATCATTACAATAACAACAGGATGATATGAAACATTCTTAAATATTTTTCCTAATTAAAAAGTGTAAACCACTATTTCTAATGTTGATATGATTAAGATCTATGACAAAATAGCCTGGGAAAGAATAATAATACAACAGTGCAATCAGTATGTTTGTGAGAAACACTACTCTTAGAACACCTCAGACATTGCTGACATTGTGTAGTTGTGTGTCCAAAAGAATAGCACTGTCACAACACAGTTTGTCCAAGTTTTTCCTTTAAATGTCCTAACCACATTCCAAGCATCTACAAGTTATTCCTTGTCCATTGTTGAATCACTTAATTACAATAATGTTGAAGTCAGCATTGTTAAATTCAATATGCTAGTAACTACACTAATATCAGGAACCGTATTCCACAACATCCCTTTGAAGATCCAGCAAACTGTGTATAATCACTAAGTTGAGCTCATTATAGCAATGACTAAGCATAGGCAAGGGAACTTGCATCTATCACAATGTCTGGTCCTAGTGCTTTATCAAAAGAGAGATTAACATCAACATGATTCTGGTCAATTCTAGTATTTACAGTAGAATGCTCAGAATCAGTAATATTGCTGATATTTTCTCATGTACAAGTAGAAGAGATTAATTGACAACTTCCTTTGTAAATATGTGAACTAATTTTTTTTTAAATAGACTATCATAATTAAACTACTGAAAATATGATGAGACCAGCTAAAGTTTTTAAAGTTTTATTGAAAAGTGAGTACATGT